CCTGTTCAATCCGCTGGTTAAGCTCATATGAAGACTCAACACTGAACATGCATTGGTTTGATGTAATAACATTTAAATTGTCTGTGAGCTTTATCCAATGATAAATCTAGCTCTCTTTCGATGGTTTGGTCAGGGTCATACCAATGTGATATCTCTTGGAAATTCTGCAAGTGTTAAAACATGTCTGTTTGAAACACAGATACATTACTGTCACATGATTGATTTGGGAGTTTACTTCCACATTTTAAAGTTACCTCATGTAAATCCCCATGTTAAGGTAGTGTAAACACAAATGGGATGTTGTTATATTTACTATTAAAGAAAGAGTGCCTTGTGGAAAAAATCCCATTTATGTACAGTTAAAAAACAAATTAACTTTACAATATGTGTAAATATTCCACTAATTCAGAAATGCACCCAGGATTTGAAAGGAAATAGTCTTTGGATAGAAGAGTCTTTTTTCTTCAGCATCCTCTTTTTAAAACAATTTTTCAATACAAAACTGGACTTATCTTTCATGGGCTTAGCTTCTACCTGGTGAAGTTTCTGAGAATTTTTTTTTAAAGCAAAGACTAACCAGATTCCGGACTTGTGCAGATTGGAAAAGGAACTGATATATATTTTGATGATCTAAAAATGAACAGCCTAGGTAAAGGTAAACGAGGAAGTGAGATATTTGGAATTTTCTATACCTCAGACATGTGGCTATTTCCATAAGAATGAAGTTTCACGATCAATGTGTAATTGTATATATAAATAATATATAACATCAGGCGTATTTTAATTCACATTATATTCACTGTTAAATTCTGTGTTCTAAACTGTGTGGACAAAGTATGTATAATTTAAAGTTTAATATTTTCCCCTGATAAAATTAATTTTTTAAAAATTAGAATATGGAAATTTTATTCTTTTTGGGGGGGATTGGAACTGCTATATACTTGAACAAAGTGGAGCTTGTAGAAAGTCAAATTCTGCGGCAGATTTGTTCAGGGCTTGTTAACAGGATTCAAGTGCTATAACTTTAGTAGAATTGTCCAGAAAGTTGGGCAGAAAATGATTTGTAAATTTTGTGAAACTCTGCTGACTTGATGATGCTGCTGCATCTATACATGTCGGTATTTTGCTCATTAAAAAACCTAACCACTCCTAACTTCATCCCAATTTAAGTCAGTTCTGCAGTGTGTTGAGGGATTTTTGGCCATTTTCCTCTACTGTGGCTGTTATTTGGTCTTTGATGTTCCCTCTTGTCCTCATTAGTTAACTGTACATGGCAGGGAAAGACTGCAGAGATCATAGAACAAACGCTACTGCTACTCAGACTTGATTGACATTAGACTAAACATGCTGCCGCAAGCTAAAGAAAGTTAATGACAGCCATGCGTTATGCTTCAAGCATGTCATGTTCAGGTAACCTTTTAATCTTGTATTTGAGATGTTGTTAGTAAGTTTTGTTGTATAGCTTGTATAATGTTACTGTAACTATGATTATGCAAGTTATACAACAAAACGTGATATAATATAGAAAGTGTTATGTAACCTTGAAAAGAGTTAAACAAATGTTTGATTGGCCATTTTCAAACAGGAAGAAATTTGTCAGTAGTGAACTTCCTGTTTCCGGAGGTGCTTGGATTTTATGCCACATAAAAGTTGGAAAAATCACTAAAAAAAAAAAACTAAGTGCTGCATTGCAAGGGACTGCTGCTGAAATCTTGGCTTTATAGGAACCAAGTATTTCATTTTAAAAACTGAAATTTGAGTTCAGAAAAGCTGTTTTGTTTTCTTTTGAGAGAGAATAGGAATGCCATGTAGTTGAAAAGAAACAAAAACTCCAAAATATAAAAAAGAATTGAAAAGGTAAATTTTTAGAATTTTAGAATTTTTTTACTTATGAAACTTTTCATTTTGTCTGAATTAAGCCACAATTTTTATCCCAGTTTTTTATTTATGTTTAATTTCCCACAAAATTGTAGTTCGTTCTTTGGATATACATGTAAAGTAAGTTGAAAAAGTGAAAATGTCGTATTTAACAACATTTTCATTTAAATGGCACACTTATTTTTGATGCGTAGGTTTACTATAGATGTAGTGTTGTAGTTTAGGTAAAACAGAAAAAAGAATCCAAAAGATTCAATTTTGCAGTTACAATATTTTTTAACTACTTGGAAGTTGTGTAACCAGTGGAGAGACATGCCGTTGCACTAGAATTGTAAGAAATATATTGTAATTGAATTTTTGGAAACAGAAATGTTGGCAGTGCTGCAAGGATGCAAAGATGAATTAATTCTGATTACCAGATCCAGTTTAATGCTACTAGTTTATGGTCACACATAAATGAGAGGTGTAAATAATTAATTGTTTTCCAAAAGACTTTATTTAAAAAACTTTTTTTTTTAAGAAAAAGGGAGTAATTGGAGTGGTAATGTTCAAACCCACAAAATTTACAAAAGCAAAAGTCTTAGAAAAAGAAAATTAGTCTTCCCAAATCCCTGCTAATTCAGCACTTGTATCAGTCAAAGTTTAGACAAAATTTCTTATTCAACAGAAAATTATCCCTTGTTGCTGTCTTTACTACAGTTGCCCAGGGGGAACAACAGCTGCTTTTTCTATGGACGTTTTCGAAACAAGTGGATTCGGCTTAGACTTTAGTTTTGCTGGTTCCAGCCATTTTGAAGTAGCGTTCGAAACCACATGTTCAAGCTCTGACTGGAACCAGTGAAACTGAAGTCTAAGCCAAATCCACTCATTTCAAAATTGCTCAGTGTTGTTTGGTCACTGTTAATAGGTTTGAAGGCTACTACGTGAGACCTTAAGGGGCTGATATACACCTGCTTACCCTATTCAAACAGTTCAGTAGGCTTGTTAGCCACCCTAACAGATCATTAACCTCTTCTTTGATAGCTTGAATTTCATTAGTTTATCATTTTGAATAATGATATTGTTATACTATATAAAACACTAGTGCTCTTTTCTAATGATCATTGTATGTATTTGTGAAATTTGCTGCTAAAATAGCTGCTTTCTGCTGTAAATGATAATGGTTCTTAACCAATTAACGTCGGATATTCTTACCCGAAAAAGCTGCTGGGGTGGGTTTTTTACCCACAATTTCTTCAATTTGAATTCAGCTTTGACCCAATCAAGCACTATGCTAATACGTCATCTGTGGATTTGACAAAGATTTCTTAAACGAGTGTACATATCCTCAGTGAAACAAATAAGGAAAATTATGTGTTTCCATGTCATCTGGCATCAAGTGGTTAATGTTAAGTGTTAAGTCGTGTCTTGCTTCAATGCAAATAGTGAAAAGAGAATAAGTTTGCCCCCCAAATGAAAACAAAGCAGCAAGAAGGTGGGTAAGTCTTCTGAATGATTTGTGGTGGCAAGGAAAAGCATGCTGAATGCTTTTCAGCTCTTGACCAAGAAGGACTTTAGTTTACCTGTGACTGGAAAATTGGAAATTTGGAGTTTCCACAGTTTTCCCACAGTTGAAATCCTTTGTATCATGTCATCCTTTGCATTCTCCTCCTGCTACATTTTTCTGAACAAAATTATTGTCACTTTTAAATTCTGCCTTTCAGATATTTTAGGGATACACTTCAGAAGGTAATTTTTATTTGTAACGTAATAATCAAAATCTAAGTTTCTTGAAAACCAGTTAATACTGTGTATGTATGATACTGGAGCACTGTGTAACAGTGAGGCAAATAGTCGGGTGTCATGATGAACTTTAATTTGTTTTTGAGTGCTTTTCAATTGTTGAATCATATTAAGTCTTTGTCACTCAAATTTGGAGAGATGCCATTACAAAGGTGGTGCCAGAGGTGGTTGCATGCATTCTTAAACTTGGGCATACTGCATATGATCACGCACCACTCTGTAGTAACAACCTCAGAGTTTCCTCCCCAGATTACTAAATTGTTGTTGTATTTGTATTCATATTGGCTTCTTCAGTCATAAGGTATGAACGATTCATACATTTCTATATGTAAAATTGTCCACTGTCCATTTTTTGCCCTTTTTTAAAAAATGGTTGGAGTCATATTGAAAAAAAAAGGACTACCTCGTAAGTTGTATTACTTTGTCTGTTGTGGAACTGTGTACATGTACAACTAAGCCTGGAAACTATCAAAGGGATTTTAAAGGTCAGCATTAATGGTGCAGTTTCATGAGTCCACACAGAAAGCAGGCTTTGCTTGTTTGTTTTTTTAAGGTGTTTATTTTTGCATTGGTTTTGTAGGTCTGAAGTTTCAGGTAAAACGTCAGAGCTAACTGAAATCCCAGAAGGTTTAACCATTGGTCACTTTATGCAGCCACATGAGTCCTTCTTCCGTTTGTATTGGCAATGGGAGATCATTTCCTGAATCACCCCTGGTGATCACTGGTGTGTCTGTAAGTGACCTGTAGAATCGCACAAGTGCCACGGCAATGCCTAATGTGTGTGCTCATGAAACAGAGCTGATTAATGTGGGTCACCCAAAATTAGTTTTAAACGGGTTCTCATGAATTTACTGAGCAGACATTTTATTAAAAGAAAAAAATGAAGATAATACAAATAATAATGGATGTATTTTTTATTAAACTAGTTATGTGAAGAAACATTGTTGCACTGTAAATAGAATATCAATTATTGGTGTTTGACTTTAAGAGATACAATTATTGTATGTGGTTGCATCATTATCATGTATTAAAATACAGGTTTTTGAGGTTTTATGTGTGTTTTCTGTGCATGGCTTGGTTTTTTGGTTTTTATATTCTCTTTTTACATGAAGTATTGAATCATTATATGTTAAATGTATTTCTGAGTATTTTGTTTTTGCATAATAATTTTGGGAACCATTTTTTCATGATGATCAGAGCCATCTTATTCAACTGAGAAGTGTAGTCACTTATATTAACTCTTTGTAGAATTTGTCCAAGACCCAAGTATGAACTTCAAGAGAATCAGCTGTAAACAAAATGCCCAGGTTGGCAATGTCAGTGAGAAATGTAGTTAGGCATTCTCTCTTTAGAAAGATCAACAGACTTTGATCTTTGCTTGATAGTATTCAAATGGTGAAGAATTACCCCAACTTTTGTCTGACATATAAAATCACTTTTTTTCACACTAAGTGAGACTACATTTTGTTTTTTGATTTGGAAACATTACCTCACTGTGAAGGATTGAATACAGTCTAGCGTTTGAAGGTTTTGTTTCTTGTACATAAGATGTATTTAGACAAAATGACAAGGAAGCTTTGTGCTTTGTGTATAAAAAGTGGATGGTGTATTCTGAAGATTTTATTCTTCTGAAGGAGATGAAAAGTGGCCTTTTTTAATTTCTGTGATGATAAAATTGAGTATTACATATTGAGAATATTACATTAAGAGATTTATAGAAATATCCTTTGAAATGTGTTCGCTTGAATACCTCTCATAACTAAAACAGAGAAAAACAGTCTTAAAATGGTTAGATATTTACTCACAGAATTGTTTTGGAATGGTTATCATCAATAAATCTATATTTCAGCAAATATTTCGTCATAATATGAAGTCTCCATTTGTTGTCAGTCCCGTACATTTCTCTGTTCAGTTTTGAACTGACCTGTGTTCAGAAATTCCCATACTCATAGCCAGATAGTGTCCGCAGTTTGCACAAAACTCATAGCTATGGAAAATGCAGGCAAACCGCATCATTTATAACAGTAGTGAACAGAATGTTAAAGGGTACATGTAAAATAATAATTTAGGCAAACAGGGTTCAATTAAATATGAAGTTTGTCTTCCGGACAGGACTGATACAAGACAGGATGCTGTTTTCTTTCACGGGCACGTTCCGCCACGGGTGACAACCAGCTGACTGTAGAGGGCGCAGTGTTGCCTAGATCCTGTCAACACATTTTTGCGTGAGAAATGAGTCGCTGGAGCGGTTGTGGGACGTCGTTTGCAGTGTCATTATTTATCAACTGTAATTGTGCATCAGTTGCCTGTTTTTCTCTCTACATTTTCTACACGATTGTAAGTACATCGTAAAGGTGACGTTGACGTCCATAAAAGATTTGTTTTGGTCAGGAATGTTGAATAAATTAACCGTAATTTCTCGACCACGATGCTCGAGCTTAGTCGCAGCGGCCGGTGGACATTTCCATTCCACAAGTATTTAGCCGTCAGAAACCAACACTTGAACGCGTCCAGAAAAATTCAATTTAGGAAGGAAGAAAACAAGTTGTTTACTTAGAAATCACAATTTTTCCGACCAGTCTCGTAGGGTTTGTGCACAGGTCTCAAATGGCGTCCGTACTTCCAGAACTATAACTTAGGTTTATACGACTTGCCTCAGGCCTACTAGTACTACTACTAGTACTAGTACAGATGGCAACATAAACTGTCATAGGCCTATCCGACATACGGTGCTACTTCGGTTTGTGTGAAATTTCTATGCTGTTACACCGATTTTGCCCCTATAATTTCGTGAGGTCTCCCGGGATACAATTTTGTATGGGACAGGGAGGTTAATTTACATTATACCATTTAAAATGGTGAAATTTATTGTTCCGTACCCACACCTGTGTCCATGACTGCCTGCCTAGCTCACCCAGTCATGTCATTTGAAAGGTCATTGTTGTCATCAGTGTGGCAGCTTCACCAATTACAACATAGCTCCCATCTCATTCTATTCAGTTTCCTTTCGCTCTCGAATGAAAGAAAAATTTCTATTAGTTGAATGGTGTGTTGGTGACGTTCACCAACTTAGTCTCTTAATTCACATGTCACGTGGACAGGACATTTCATTGGACAACACATTACACGTAGGCCACTGGAAACAGTCGTTGCAGCAGTGGAAACAAATCATTTTAGCGAGGGTAAAGATGGGACTTGTGCATCAGACTGAAATTTACCCCCAGACTAGCTCTGGACGATTGAGGTCACACCCCCTTGTGCCACTGTACAGGGGACTGGGAGTTATAAGCTGCTGATCAGGGTTAAGGTTTGCATAAACCTTACAGTTCTGGAAGTACGGCATCCGTATATCATGATCATGGAACTCTTTCCAATTGTAGGATTGTTGGCAAGCTCTTAGTTTCTAAAATGTGACAATTGAGGGAGTGAGTCAGAGGGGAATTCCATATAAGGACACCACCAATTTTCCCTGCAGTAACCTGTTATCTATCAGAAAGCAATGAAATCTCCTTAAAAGTCAAATTTAGCAGTGAAAATATGAAGGCATTCATTTGGAAAACACTTCAAATTTTTCAGACCAGTCATATTGCCAGTCTCATACAAGGCCTGGGTTTGTGCACAGGGTGTCAAGCAGCGTTCGTGTATGTAACCTGTTCCATGAGTCAAAGAAGAACAGTCCAACGGAGGAAAAATGTAACAAGTATATGCCATCTTGCCAATGAAGAAAATTAAAGGAGCTACATGTAGGTAGCCTGACTTTATAATTTAGCCTACGTCAACCTAGGCCCTACCCCTGGAACTATGGAGTTCACCACCACACCCTGCTTGAGTTCACACTAATGTTGGAGCATGGAGTGACAACAAACCCCATAACTGCGAACTGCGAACCAAATTTCTGCTACCTCCGTCAGATATAAGTGCGAAAAAGAAAGTGTTGTAAAGAAGTTTGCTATGATAGGATGAACTGATACCCTGGGCATTAATTAAAATGGAATCAAAACATCATCCAACCTTAGTTAGGGTGTAAGCCTGTGTCATTATAAGTGCATTCAAACTGACATCGTTCTTTTTTTGGGTCAGATTTAATGGCGCAGGTTCTTGTAGTGGCTGGAGTGTGCCTGAAACTTGTCTGGAAACATTGAAATCTACAATCAGCATGGCAGACACTGATGCCACTACATTGGTAATGTTGTGCTTAAATAAAATACAAAAATGAATGCAATTCTTATTTTGGTCCAGTATTGTAAGTTTCCACTGACTGACATTTTGAACTGCTTGTGCTTGGTAATGTTTTTGATGCCATGTTGCATATAGTTATCTCTCAGGGAAATGGTTTCAAAAGTAAGCTGTTCTGGAGAATGCAAAACTGGAAAATAGGCCTACAGTTCTGGTAATACTGTGGTAGAAGGATTTTAAGGTGGAAAATACCCAGTTAGAAAATGGATGGAAGAGGTTCTTCAGATTGTTGAGATCATCTTTCTGACTGGGTTATTCTGTTTGGTTTTGGCCAGGCTGCTATCAATTACTATTGTCAGGAGAAGCTGTATCGTCATATGCAGACAGTGGCTCTTGAAGCTATCAAGAAATATGGCGCTGATCCTGTATTGCAGTTCTTCAAAGCATATGGCCTTATACTTGAAGGCAAGTACTCAAGGCTTTTACAGAGCATTTGTAGACCTTGATTTTTGTCTCTAGCTTTGGCTCCCACCTGACAAGGATACTGTACATGTACCGGGGATTGGTAGATTACCCATTCATACTTCTGTTTTGAAGGATGATTGTGTATGGTGATTGCTGTATGTATGACTTTATAACACCTCACCCACGGATGCTGCATCTTGATTGGCCAAAAGTGTGTCATGTGACACTTTCTAGTTTTACTATTTTGTACCACCACTTCAAAAAGACTATACACATGCAGCGTTGCTTTGAAAAGAACTCTACCCGTAGCAACCAAAGAACTATGTCCCTAGCAATGAAACCATGAATAGTACCCCGGCATGCATTTCTGCTCCTAGCATAAACCTGTGGGTGAGGTGTTATAAAACAAACACTGACTGCTTTATCTCTTGGTATAGTAGAACTAGTGTCCCTCGGTGATCCATGGAGCATACTATTTGCTTTGGCGAATGCTTCATGGATCACCCTGGGAGACTAGTTTTACTATACCACTGGAAGCAGTCAATATTTGTGTAATATCTGCACTATACATTATAGATAGTCTTCTATGGGTAATAAGGTTGTTAAATGACTGTCTTATCTCCTTGGACTCTAACATCTACCCTAATGAAAGCTCAGCTGTCTTGTCTTGATCTGGCTGTCATAGATCGTATTGCTGAGGGTATGCGTGAGCTTGAAGCTATCAAAGACAAGCCTGACTTGATCCTGTGTTCCACCATGGCTCTAATGTACTCTCACAAGAGGTGCAAGACTGTAGGTAAGTCCTAGTTGGTAGAGGGAGGATTGTCAGGACTTTTTAGTGAAGTCCCCTGTGGTTAGGGACCATCTCCAAACTGATTTTAGCAGTGAGGATTCTCAGCCTGAACCCTAACCCTGCTAGACGCAGCATAGTGAAACAGGTGTCAAAGTCTGATGCACTTTGATGCACTGGGCAATCAATAGCAGCTGAACAAACTGGCCATGTTGAGACCAATGATGGCCAATGATGTCTGACAGGGTTTCTGGCCAAAATACCCTGGAGGATTAGGGTTAATGAAGATCTTAGATTGATTTTCTTTTTTTTTAAAATCCACATTTTGTGACTTTTGTCTTGACACAAACAGATCGAGAAGCAGTTCAGGAATTAGATGCCAAACTGAAGGAAGAGAGAAAACGGACAGGGGAGAAGGTATTGAGATGTTTTTGTCCATAAATATGCAGATACCACATCATTTCTGAGGGATCTCAACAGAGTGAAACATTTCAAAAAAGTTCCTAGTTCAGAGACACATCCTAAACTAGGTCTGACTTATGATGCTGGGTGTTTGCTGTTGCATTTTAGGGGCTGTACTTTGCGGCAACGTTTCTGTGGCACACAGGACGACATGACAAGGCCAGGGAGTATGTGGATAGAATGCTGAAGATATCTCAAGGAGCTAAACAGGTGGGCTGGAGCTTGGATGGAATTGATTGTGTTTGTAGTTCAACTGTTACATTTATGTGCATTGATGTTCCATTTCAAGTAGAAAAGTTCTAAAAATCAGAATTCAGTCTCTGAGGACACATCAATATCATTGACCAAAACTATAAAAGGGCTATGCTTCCCATGAAATTCGGGGTGAAGCGTTTGATTAAGGGGCTCCTTTCATGGATTTATTCTTCTTGTTGAACAGGGCCAAGTTCTTCGAGGCTGGATTGATCTTACCTGTGGCAGGGATGCTTATGTCAAGAAGTCGGGCAAATATTTTGAAGAAGCACTGAGGTAGAATAACTTTCATTTGCAAGATCTGAATGGCTGTTGATATAAATTTCAAATCTTGAAGTATTGGCATTAAGAAATTCTCAATAACAAACCACTTTCTTTGGGTAAAAGGCAGAAGACTATAGCTGAATTGTTCATTTTGAGCTCTTGATGGGATTTGAAACTGATTTTTTGGTATGTCTTCAGTGGTGCATCCAAGAACGTTGAAGCACTGATAGGCAAGGCTCGTTACTTCACCCTAAGACATAACTACAGCGGGGCTCTGGACCAAATCAACCAAGCTGTGGTGTCCTACCCCGGCTTCATGCCGGCATTGATTGAGAAGATGCGACTCCTGATGGCACTGCAGGATTGGGAACAGACCCTGGAGACAGCTCAAAGGTAAGAGGAGAGAGAAGACAGATGTGTTCCATTCCAAGGAGCAAAACGTGCTGCGGTAAAATATTCAAGTAAAGGAACATTGGAGTTTGTCAGAAACAGGTTATCAATACTCTGCCAAGTAGGTTCAAGAAACTGGCTCACCTGTCATTGACCCACCTGCTCTCTTGATTCTTGCAGGGCATTGAGTCAGCAGTCTAACTGCTTTGAAGCCATCAGAGTGGAGATCCTACATCTATTATGCAGGGACGGAAACTACGAAGAGGTAATCCCAGAAAAAAAATAAACCTGAGAACAAAGCCTTCCAGTGGAGTTGACATACAGTTCATTCCACTGGAAACCAATTTGTACCTTGACAAATCAGCTTCAACTACAAAGACCAGCATCCTTAAGAGCTTTGACAAATAAATTGACATTGTCTCAGTCACTTAAAAAGTATCCGGTAATGTTTTTAAAAAAATCCCAAATATAAATGAGCAACTTGAAGCAAACTCATGACCCTCATTTGCAAAGTATGACATGATTGATTATTGATGATTTTAGGCTGTGCTTCGCCTGGGTGAGTTGATCCAATTGCTGGATCGATTTGAACCCAAGAATGGCTACATCTATTGGCACCTGTCATTAGTCTACAGTAGAGTGGTGAGTTTAGCTGTCTCCATCAACTTCCTTGTATTTACACTTCCCAGTTCCTTAACCTCATCTAGGGGGTTAAGGGGCTTAAACTTGACCCCTAGCTCATAAAAAGAAGGTCTAGCTCCCAACGTCCTAGTTAAAGATACTCCTGTTTTCTTTTCTAAATTTAATCAAATTCTAAATTTGTCAAAATGTCCTTTATATGGATGAGAAATGCCTGAAATTGCCTCTCCTCCCAAAGCACATCATTGTGTGGCATCGTCAGTTTTATCACACACTTGATAATAGAAAAAATACCTGGTATTTCCAAAGTACGCGTACCCCCTTAATTGATCACTATAACTTACTTGATTCTTTTTTCTCAGTGTGGTCGTAACGCTCAAGTCCTACAGCAAGCATCTACAATGGTTGAGCGTGCCGTAGCACTGGAGCCTAACAATGCAGAATATAAGACAGAATTGGGTTACCAGCTGCTGCTTAAGAATAAACCCAAGGAAGCTATGAAGTTCTACCGTAACGCCATGAAGTTAGATGAAACCAGTGTGGCTGCACTTACAGGTGAGAACATAAATCACAGGTTGAGTAAGTGATTGCTCTAGGCCAAAGGCTGGTTATCACTAGCCAATTTCATTTAACATTACAGAGGGAACCATTCACATAAAAATAATTCTACGAGATTTCAATGACCATGTACGCTGTAAAATTTGCAGCCAACGGTGTAATGTGCGTATTGATGAGATTTTTAAAAATAGGCCAACTAGGGTCGTTGGACTGTAACTTAATTGAATGTGAATTGTTAAAAAGCATCTGACTAATGGTCGAACTATAGTTCATGCCCGAGCTTGCCCTGTATTGAAAGCATGTAAGACCAGTCTGTATATCTTCTCCTTATTGATTTCCTCCAGGTATCATCAAGTGCCAGCTATTAGAGGATCATCTCGATGATGCTGAACAACAGTTGGAATTTCTTAGCGAGATCCAGGAATCCATCGGCAAATCAGCGGTAAGAAACACTGGCACCCTGCCATTTGATGATGGTTAGTCAAGGGATGGCCTCAGAAACTCATGAAGTATTTTGTTCCTGTCATACTGGTAGTGTATGATATTTTGCTTTACTGGTGTCTCCTACAGGACATCCTATTCCTTCGTGCTATACTTGCCCACAAACGAGCCAAGCCTATAGAGGAGGTAGTGGCTCTACTCAATGAGGCTAGCACTACCCACTTTACAGCTCTGAAGGGAATTCCCCTCGGGATGGACTACTATACCCAGATGAATCCAGACTTTGTGCTGGAGTTGGTCAAGGAGTATCTAGCCTTTGCTCCCACTGAGGTAAACAAACTCAAAGATTTGCCAAACAAGTCATTAATCATCTGAATTTGAAAAGTTGAAGGCCTTGAAACATCCATCCATGGTGTTTTTTTTCTATTGTTTTCTCTTTGTTACAGCCCCAGGCACCTGGCCAGCCAGTAAGCCCCATCCTCAGCCGATGTGCTTCCATTCTAGAACCCATCACTAAGGCTATGCCTGGCTTACTGGAAGCCTTGCATATCTTGAGTCGCATTCGATTCCTGTCTGGTCAGATTGACATGGCTCAGAGCAGTCTTCAGCATTGTCTTGATCGTAATCTCCAGTTTGCTGATGCTCACCTCCTCATGGCACAGGTATAAGGATGTCTTAGTGTGGTCCTAGTTACTGAAATATTAGAGGATGGGATGCCTTGGTTGGGTTTGAACCCATGACCTCTGCTTGCTAGTACAGATGTCTAAAGCACTTTACTATAAAGCTAACCAGAGTTAGATGACAGAAGGCTTGGGTAGGATTTGAACCCATACCACGTATTTGCTAGTATTGATGTCTGAATCACTTTACTATGAAGCTTACTAGAGCCAGATGAAAGGAGACTTGGGTAGGGTTTGAACCTTTGACCTCCTGCATGTTAGTGCAGATGTCTGATTTGCTTTGCAGCGAAGCTTACCAGGGTCAGGTGACAGAGAATGCATTTTGCATTGTGATGTCCATATAAAGGATTGCTTTGTAACAGACTGAATTATTGACTATATTGTAATCATCACTTTCACATAACCGCCGAGAAAAATAGTTAGTCTCAATAGTTAGGCATGTTGTAGCATCTGAAAGGTCACTTGGCTACTTTTACAAAGTTTTCATTGAGTTCTCAATTTCTTTCTCCTGGAATAATCCACTGCCTATTGATCCTTATAGATTCACCTACATGCTGGCAATTACAAGCAGTCCTCGCAATCGCTTGAGATGGGATTGAGCTACAACTTTGAGGTAATCCCTTTCACTTTCACTCCTGTGACTGCTTGACTTCATAAAGCAAGATCTGTAGCTTAAGGTAGAAACACTTCTCTTATTTGTATAGGATTTTTTTCACATACCTGTGGGTAGTGAATAATGTTTCATTGTCCATGCCAGTAAGGTAACATGTTCAGTTAGGTTTTATGCAAATACCTGTGAGAATGATAAACTGAATTAGTGTGGTTAATGTGGAATTGAAAAGGATTAATAAGTCGGTTGAAGATTTCTGCTGCTTAAATCTCTATCATGCAACAATGTACTCATTGTGTTTAGGTGCGAGAAATGCCGCTGTATCATATGATCAAAGCTAAGGCCCAACGTAAGATGAACCAACTGGACGAGTGCATCAAGACACTGCAGAGCGCCATGCAGCTACCAGGAGTCAAACAGAGGGCGGCCTCCGCCTCCAAAAGGGGCAGTAAGGCCCTCCCCATCTCGACCACAGACAGGGTGTCGGTATACTTGGAGCTAGCTGAGGCATATAGACTGACCGATGCACAGGTAATGATGTCAAGTCTTGTTTGTGTCCCTAAGCAACATATTTATAGCAATTGCTCCTTTGTACACATTTCAAACACAGTGGTACTTTTTTGTTGTTTGTTACTTCATCCAGTGAATCTAAAACATTGTACAGTGTAACGCTACTCGAGGTGTGACAGATGTTAGAAGGAAATATCTGTGATATTGTTAGATTCCTGGGTTCTGCACTTCCAACCTTACAAAATGATGATGCAATCTCTCCTTCCTTTTGTAGCATGAGGCAGCTAAGGTGATGCAAGATGCCATCAATGAGTTCAGTGGTACACCAGAGGAAGTACGGGTGACTATCGCCAATGCTGACCTGGCTTTGGCCAGGGGGGATACAGAACTTGCTCTGTCTATGCTCAGGAATGTTGGTCCTACCCAAAGGTAAGGGATCAGGTTTAATAGTATCCAATATGGCTTCCTGTTGTTGATGTCAGTCTGACTTGACGTTCCTTTTTCATGACACAAATTGTAGCTGACAGCCTTGCATTTGACATTTAAATCTCAGAACATGAACATTTAAAGTGAAGTGACTTTTCATCAACAGATCGAATCACAAAGTATCTAACCTAGATTCGTAAGGACTGCATTCTAAGATCTGAGAAAACATGAATCTGACACCTAACCACACCCCATACTTGCCGTTGATAACTCTTCTTTCTGCAGTTACTTTGTTCAAGCTCGAGTCAAGATGGCAGACATCTATCTGAATCATCGCAAAGACAAACGGCTGTATGCAGGCTGTTACAGGTAGGTAACTCAATCCATAACGCAGGTAAAGGGTGTTAAGTAGCTGTTTATTGTCAACATTTACAATACTTACACTAACTCTGGACTTGTCAAAGCTCTGCTGACAGGATTTTATTGCTTGTTAACTTGCTTTTCTGTCATTATATTACCTGAAAAGCATAGAAAACACTGGATACAACAGTTATTTGTTTAAAATTCCTAATCTATTGCCTTACATTCAAACATACAAATGATAGCTGTGGTCAGAATTCTCTAAAGGTAACCTTTGACCTGTAACCTTTGACAGGGAACTGGTTGAGAAGCAGAGTAGTCCTGAGACCTCCCTTCTCCTTGGTGATGCTTACATGAATATTCAAGAGCCAGAAAAGGCTATTGAGATCTACGAAGCTGCACTGAAGAAGAACCCACGTGATAGCGCCCTCGCTAGTAAGATTGGATCAGCACTGATCAAGACCCACCAGTATACAAAGGTAAGAGATGTACTGATTGATTGGAGCCTTGTCTTCATGGGTTATTTTTGTAGGTCATGGGAATTTATTTTCTTTCGGCTTAAATGGAAAATATAGTTATAAAAATCAGTGGATTTGGTCTAAAGTGACAGAGTGCATCCAATAGGACTATAATGAACCATCCTTGGACATAATGAACCATCCTTGGACATAATGAACCATCCTTGGATATAATGAACCGTCCTTGGATATAATGAACCTGTTATCATTTAGGCAATCAATTATTACGAGGCAGCTTTGAAGACAGGAGGGCAGGGTTTTCTTCGTCATGATCTGGCCAACTTGTTGCTGAAGCTACGACACTTTGACAAAGCAGAGAAGGTTCTAAGAACAGCTTTAGATCACGAATCTGGTGAGTGTGCCAATTAGTTAATCAAGAAATCTCAGATTTTTGAAGTGCCGTAATAGGACCATAATATTACTGGAACTTTCATTACATGAAATGGTCTTGTAAACCAATAATTTCCAGGACCCTTGGAGATTTATTGAATGACATCTCCAAAGATTTTTTTTCAGGTAGTTGTTGTTTCTTGTCTCTTTTCAGCTAACGATGTGTCCACAATGATGGATGATTGTAAGTTATTAGTGATGCTGGCCAAAGTTCATCGCCATGCCAACAAGATGGAAGACTCCATGTTGGCTCTGACCAAGGCCAGAGATACGCAAGCCAGGTAAAAACTGACCTGTTCATACTCGGTACGAAAGCAAACACAAATGCAAATTCATGACGTAAAAGTGGAACACATTTCAATTTAGCAAACATTTGCTGCAAATCTTCTGTGATGTCATATTCGCTTTGGCTTCACATTTGCCTGAAGTATAAACCGGCTTTGAAAAAAAAAAAAAAAACTGTTTTCAGTGTATGTTCTATTTTGTAGACTCTTGGACAGAAAAAAAGGATTCGTATGAATTTCTTTTTGATTTAATGCGACATTGTAAAATCTCTTTGCAGAATACTGAAACGTGTACAAGTAGAACAGCCAGATGCTGTCACCTCTCAGAAAGCTCTTGCTACAAGGTCAGTTTAGGAACTATCCATTGATGAACAGGAAGGTCAGACATAGTTTACCACACCGTCTACTTTCATTGAGGGGTGGCTAGTTTGTTCTAGAGGTGTTGTAAGCTGTACATTTACAGTAATAGATAGAAGTATGACAGTTGGAACTCTCTTCAGTTCTGAGTGGTAAACATTGGGGAACATTGGGGAGGGGCTTAGGGCTGAGAGGAAAGGTTGAAGAGTCAAACCATGAGCTTCAGGTGAATCTATCTTCTTGCTGCAGCATCTGCTTCCAGATGGCTGAACACCATGCTTCCCAACGAGACTACGACCGAGCTATCAAGCTATACAAGGAAGCCTTGGTGTATACAGAGAGTGATGGTAAAGCCATGCTGGAGTTGGCTCGACTCTACCTGGCAACGGATGAGTTAGATGCCTGCCAACATCAACTAGTCCAGTTACTCCAAGGAGATAAAGAGAATGATAATGCCACTGTGGTATGACTCTCAGATAATCATTTAAATTCTTTCTATCTTTTCAGGTTTTGTCTATGTTCTCTTATTATATTACATTGTATTTATGGCTCGTATTCATATTACGTGTATTCTTGATTCGTATTTTAATGAAAGTATGGAAATAAATGTTGTTTTTAAATTTGAATTTGAAATTTTAGTGTTAAGAGTAGATTTAAGATCCACATGAATCTGAAAACAAGATAGAGTTAAAGTGATGGTGTTTTTGTCATCTTAATTAAAGTGTGGATGATGATCAGTCGTGGATTAAAAAGTAAACCAAAAGTTGGTTTTGGGGGGAAGGGGTTGAGTTTCCTGTGATGCAGCATTGATCTTTGCAGTAATGATTTATATTCTTATGATCATTGGAGCTGTTTTGAGCCAACAGCCATGACAGTTTAATTGCCAAGGTATATTGCCTAGGTGTATTGCCTATCGATGTTGCTAAGGTGTATGCTTATTCCGACGTACCCAGTCGCCTTTACTGTGTCCCTCCAAGAATCTTCAGAAAACTTTTCCAATTTAAGAAATGCAATTCTTGTATTCATTGACAGATGATGGCTGATTTAATGTTCAGGAAGGGAGAGTATGAACAAGCAACATTTCATTTCCAGCAGTTACTTCAAAGATCACCAGGTATTAAAGTACTCTCATCAGGATTTGTGTTCTAAAATCTGTGTTTATACTCAATTATTGCTAGAAGGGGCCATGGTAGCCAATCCATGGGTATGCACAGTCTGCCTTGTCATTAGATTGTGTTCCTAGACTACAAGGTTTTTTACATAGATGAGCTCAAGCCAAGTGAACATGGTGGTGTTTATGTAGACGAAAAGATTCACCATAAGGTGACTGATGGTGGCTTGTTGGGTAATTTCAGACCATTATGAGGCCTTGTCTCGACTGGTTGATCTACTCCGTCGTGCAGGCAAGTTGGAGGATGTAGCTCAATTCTTGGAGCAAGCTGAGAAGGCTTCGTCTAGAGCCTCCATGGACCCTGGCTTCAACTACTGCAAAGGCCTGTATGAATGGTCAGTAGCTAACACATCTCCAGTGGATGGGAAGGAAAGCGATTGTGAACTGTCTTGCTCAGGAACACAAAATCATCTTTTGCCAACTTGAAGTGAAATGTTTTGCAAGTGTTCCGAGTACATGTATCTATGTATTTACCATCTGAACACTTTTACTTTATTTTGATGTTCCCTTTTGATCTCCATTTCTTGTGATTTATATAGGTATATTGGCAATCCTAACGTAGCTGTGAAGCATTTCAACATGGCACGCAAGGACAGTGATTGGGGTCGTTTGGCTGTTCGTAACATGATAGACATCTGCATTAACCCTGACAACGAGACTCTAGGAGGGGAGACATTTGAAAATGTCAACACTGATGCTATGTAAGTAGATCTTGAACTCCTTATACTCTGTGTCTTGTCTATAAATGTTGTCTAAAATGATGAAATATATGCTAAACCTTGCAAGATGAAAGATGCTTGACACACTGGCATTGTTTCTGACGTTGGTCGTTTATTTTTTGTAGGAGTGCTTCAGAGAAAGCAGATTCAGAGCAGATGGCTGTCAGAACGGCCGAAAAACTCATCAAGGTAAAGAAATAACCTTGTGTTTTTTCTACTAATAGTGTCACTTCTAAATGGAATATACCATGATTTACAGTCGCGGTCAACTTATGTTCCTCTTCACTTGTCCAAAGATAGGTTCACTGTCTATTTCACACTGCCCCGTAATTTTTGTTTTTAATTTCGATGTATATTTGTCCATTCTCACTTAAATTGGTTACTGTCTTTGAGTTGTTAAAAGAGTGTCATTACAAACCCAAATCTACTGGTTTTTATGTGGAGGGTGCAACATCATCAAAGCCGTGTTGTGTCTCAGATAGTTAATGTAACATGAAGACCTAATAATGTGAATCATAACGTGCTCCTTAGAAGCCACCATTTGAGGTTTCCATTGTGATGTGTAGAAACTCACCTGTTTTCTGTCTTTGTAGGAATTGAAGCCTCAACCAGGATCTGATGACTCCAAGATCATGGAGAACTATGTCCTTATGGCTTCCAAGTCCAAACCAAACATAGAGAAAGCTTTGTCATCATTTATGGAGTTGGCAACTAGTGAGGTAGGGCTTGACACTTTAGAAAGTTTTGTCCTTCTAACTAGTAACTTAACCACTTCGGGCTGGGGGCATTTATGAATGTTGATGATGCTGGGACGGGATAATTTTCATTTTTTTCTGTTTTCAAAATTCTTTCAAAATTCATATCTTCATTTACTGGACACTTACACCCACACGAAGGACTATCTGGTTTCTCTCTAATCTGACAGACAACATCTATTGACACTGGAGTATTTCAGCTGGGCCTGCCGCCTTGTAAAAAGAGACCAGATTGTGCGGTGTTATGTAATTTTCTTTTGTTCATGAAACTGGCACTGTGCGCTGCTGACCTCTTTTCAATAGGGGCCAGATTAGCGTGCAGCGGTACTGTGTGGCTCATCGCTGCAGTGGTGGAGAGCTTTTGTCCCCAGTGGTAATACGCTCGCTCTCAATGCCCCAAACTTTGGTATACTGTTTCAAAACAAGGCTGGATTATCTCCACTTTTGAGAGTGAGAAAATGTTGATAATGCACAGCAGCCTGGTCTTTTGTTCCAAGTACGGTCTTTTGTTACAAGGCCCAGTTCCCTTTCTCTAATTTCCGAAACACCAGCCACGCATATAAAGCATATGTGTCTGGTACCGGCAACCCCGGCGGCAAGTGCTTAAATATGTTTTCAAATAAATGGAGAAAAGATTCAACTTGTGAAATGTCCGTATGACAATGATAATGTGAAATATTTCTGACTTTTCAATCATTATTATCCTGTAGAAAGAGAATGTACCGGCTCTGTTTGGAGTGGCCACAGCTTACATGATATTAAAGCAGACACCAAGGGCTCGTAATCAACTCAAGCGAATTGCTAAGATGAACTGGAATCCTGTGGTGAGAAATAAGCTGTAGACTACCCTTGAAATCCTCCCACTCCTTGCTCGAAAAGTACCTGACCACAACACTGTTATTGTTACTATTTGAATAAAGTAAAAATCCACCAACATTTGGTTTCACATTAGACATACATTTTTCCTTTAAAAATAATCTGTATTGAACTGGAGTCTCATCTTGACTGACTAAATTCATGAAACTGACGTCTGAGGGTCAAGTTTGGAAGTCACAATCTGACCAAATTTCAAAGTAGTGTATTCATTTGAAGATGTTAAATTTAAAGAACCAGACTCTATTTTACGATTTCATTCCGACCCCCCCCCAAATCACCTGCTACCATCCCATTAAGAGTTTCCAATGTATACAATATGTTCAGGAATACGATTGAAATTGGGTCTCCCGTAAATACGGTCTATTGTGTGGACCCGGTGTCATTCATGTAGCTAGCTCACATTAAGTCAGTTCAATTCTATCAGATCCAAGACAGGTTTTTGTTATTTTCATTTGTATTAACTTTGGTTTTTACGACTCAGGATGCAGAAGAGTTTGAGAAGAGCTGGCTATTGCTTGCTGATATTTACATCAACTCTGGCAAGTATGATATGGCCACTGAACTACTCCGGAAATGTCTCCAACATAACCAGGTAAAACTATTTCCAAATAGTCCAAATACCAGCAATTCATGATGTATTATATCAAAGCCAAACTGTGCTGGCCAGGTACGTGTAGTTGAAAAACTTTCCTATGTGGTTAAAATATGGATCTTCCCTGCACAGATGGTTTTTATTTTTGAAATAGGCCATCGTAAGCCCATTGCAAGGTTTTGATTAGACACGTAAAAAAATGTTTTGGGGGTTTTTTTTGCATTTCAAACTGACCATACATGTAAGTATCTGGTTTTGACAGAAAATGTCACATTTATCTTGTATTAAAAGTATGTTTTTTTTCTTTCCCTGCATACGGTTCATCAGGGAAGTTCAGTTTTGTTACGGCAATTTGTAAAGCCCTGGGCAGCAGCCTAACATTTCTGGTGGCATAATTGAAAGCTTGGGAACCCAGTTATTGGTGTGTCAGTCAAAAAACCATTGTACTTCTGAACAGAGCCCAATTTCAAGGTGCTAAGCACACAAATTTACGCTAACATAGGCATGCTTACTGCTGACAGTGGAGATTGTAAGCAGTAAGCACGACAAAAAGTACACTTACCTTGGAGGAAACATTTGCTCACTTAGTAATGTAACAATGCCTGTGCAATTTTTGTGCTAAGCAAAGCATTAACCACATGCTGCTGGGTGGTTTGAAAAATACAGTGCACACATACGGGCGAATTTCAAGATGTTCAGTTTTCGAAAATCATCAAAAATTCATCATTTCAATTAATGCACATTTACACCCACACGAATTACTGTCTGGTGGCCACTTTAGTCTGACAGACAAAATCTATTGATGCCCGAGTATTTGAGCCAGGCCTGCAGCCTTGTAAAAAGAGCCCAGATTGTGTAGTGTTATAAAACTTTCTTTTGTTCACGAACCTGGCACAGTGCGCTGCTGACCTCTTTTCAATAGGGGCTAGATTAGCGTGCAGCAGTGCTGTGTGGCTCGCACTAAATACCTCAAACCGTGATATACTGTTTCAAAACAAGGCCGGATTATCTTTACTATTGAGAGTGAAAAAAAATGTCAGTAATGCCCAGCAGCTCAGTCTTTTGTGCTGAGCACGGTCTTTTGTTAGAAGGCCCAGCTCTTTTGTCCTGGGTTCGGGCTCCCTGACTTTGTCTATAAAGCCTTTGTGTTCAAAAATGGGTCCCCCTGCAGCAAGTGGTTAAGCAAATTTTTGTGCTATGTTTAGCAGACATTTGCTTAACGGATAGCAGTGTAGTGAAATTGGGCCGTAATGTGTTATTGCCGCTACAATTTTGATTTTTTGTTGTTGTCATATTGTAGTCATGTTGCAAGGCCTATGAGTATCTTGGCTTCATCATGGAGAAGGAGCAATCTTATCATGATGCAGCTGGAAACTATGAGAAAGCTTGGAAGTATGGTAACCAGAACAATCCAAACATTGGTAAGTAACCACATGAAAAGGGATCTGACTGTCTGCTCTACTGTCTGGGTCCAATTTGCCAAAAACGTGTACTCCTTGCATATTACGTAGAATTGAGGCTCTGTGTTAGGCATGATCAGTTGATCAGCACAATTGCCTTGCACCATCAGTTGATCCTGTATGAAATCTCTGACTTTACTTCCCTATTTGAAACAGTCTTCCACAACTGTACATTACCTGTGCAAAAGGCCATCATCTGAAGGTGAAACTATCGATAAATCATACAGCAAGATCAACTGATTGTGCAGAGATCAAGCAATCACACAGATTGACCAGTACCTAACAGTAGCACTGTCAGCAGGAAACATTGGTCATTTTGTGCAGAATTTTGTCGGTAACAAAATCATGACATTGGTGAAAGTGATGCTTGAAATGTGCAGTGGGATGTTTAATAGAAGTAAATCACATACTTGATTGATACCACCACAATCCTTACTGCCTTCTTCACCTTGTTACAGGTTACAAGTTGGCATTTAACTACCTGAAGGCAAAACGCTATGTTGATGCCATCGATATCTGCCACAAGGTCCTAGCGAATCATCCTAACTATCCCAAGATGCGTAAAGACATCCTGGACAAAGCAAGGGCCAGCATACGGGTATGAAATTGCTTCACAATAGTCGTGCAAGCCTTACGGAGGTACCAAATCTGTTAGTATGTCATATGTCTTGTAGTTTAAAAACTGGATCTTCATCAAATAAACCCTTCTCTGCTCTGCATTGCTGGACTTTGTTTTTAGACAGTTTGGGTATCCAAGTTAATTTGTTTCTGTATTTGTACCTGCATGGCACAACATGTACATGGCTTTGCATAAAGTTGCACAAATTTTGTTTCGGCGCAACTTGCATGTCCATACGTAGCAACTTGCATGTCCATACGTA